CAAACCCCCGAAAAAAAAGGTCGCTGGCTCAACTAATGGCTCACACCAACATTCTGCTTCAAATGTGGTTCGTAAGCCTGGTTTTCCACATTCAAAAACCCAAGTATTGGTCTGAAACCTTGCTTTGTCATGTATTTCAAAATGTTTAATACTTCTATTTTTAATTTTTAACTGCCCATTTTACTAAAAATAGTACATGTAATATATATATGTATATATTTTCATGGAAAGTCAAGTTTGGAATTTACCAAATATGGTTCGATAAACAGAATGTTTGAGTCGCAAGCTTTTTATGCCTTAGAGTTGAGTCTCAAAAATTTCTTTTGAAAAAAATTATTCGCTCCCGACTTGGTTTCAATTGTTTTTTATGGTAACTGGTTTGGTTAAATGTTTGGTTGATATTTAAAAATTAAATCGAAATTCTGGCTTTAATTGAAAATCTGTTTGCAGTCTTGTTTCCAGCACGATATAATATTAATTATCAATTGTTTCTTTGGGCGACATAGCTGTCAGATTCGCTTAAATTTTCTGAGTTCGCCCGAAAAGTCTTACCAGAAACCGTTGTTCATACAAAAACTCTACTAGTACTGATAGTCCGACGATGTCTTCCCCAATGCGCTACACTTTTTGGGCGAAATTTATTTCAAACGAGAAAGAAGGACTATTTTTGGCACGCCGAAGATTTAATACCCTTTCAGACCCAACCTTTTCATAATGCTCATAGTGCTTTGCCCGTATCTAAGAAACACAGGGAATATAGTTAAAGCCGAGTATGGTTAAGATATTTTAAAAACAAAAAGTTTTCCATAAAACAACTTTTCGTTTCGACCGATCGTTCCTATGGCAGCTACATGATATAGTGGTCCGATATTAATATGTTTTTGCATAGAATCAGACGGACGGACAGACTGACATAGCTTATTACTGATAAAAATTATAATACCCTCTGCAAGGGTATAAAAACACAGAAATACTATTTATCGCATGTGCTAGCTCCGCATTGCGCGCCAGTATGGAAAAACAGATAGACGAACATTGCACAAAATCCGTAAACTATATACATACATATAATTCATTCCGGAATTCGATCCCGGTGAAAGAGACATAAAAGGGTTGCAAAATACAAGTAATTCGCACGATTGAATACGCTGCCATTTAGCAGAAATCAAACATGCGAACTTTCCAATCTGACCGCCAGGTGGCGTGACAAGCTGCAATTGCACGTGTGCGTGTGTGTGTGTGTGCGCGCGCGCATGTGTGTATTTGTGTTCGTGTGAGACTAGAATTGAGCTGAGCTCAGCTCAGTAGAAGAAATTCTCATGTATCTGCAGCTGGGCAGCCGCTAACAATGTGCACACCCAAATTCCATTACGAAGATACAAATCAAATTGCCAAATGGCAATAGTAGCTGTCGATGGGGTAGCGGGGGCCACCAGCTGGCGGGCGGGAAGGAAACGTGCTTTCCTTTGGCAGTTGGCGAAAAAAAAAAGATATATACATATATATATATGTATGCAAAAATCAAATTACCCGAGCTTGAAAAATCGCAGACATCAGAGACACATAAATCAGAGGGCGCCAAAAACTTCAAAAGGCCAAAACGAAACCAAAGAAATTGTTACCGCTATTTAACGGTTTATTGATGCGTCGCTTTAGCTGAATTTATTGGCCTGGTCGTTGGCCGTTTTTGTGCTAGCCCGTCGCCTACCCCCAAAACCCAACCCAACCCACCCAGACCTGCAAACCGAAGTGCCAATGCAAAATGTGAAGCTTGAAAAACGTGCAAAATGCTTCAAATTGATTTGACTTCTTGGTATTTGCCTGCGGTAGTCCAGGTAGCCCATTTCTCAAACGAGGTGTTGATTCCGTTGCTACCCACAAAGGCAGAGCAAAGAAAAAATAGTCCAAAAGATAAAAGGAAAACCTCAACAATAGCCTATACTTGCGCTGATTTCGGTCTTAATGATTTCACTGATGATTCATCATGATGATCAAATGTTGATATCAATATTATTAATAGAACTGAATACTGAATGATGGAGATGTTAATATTTAACTTCCAAATGCTGCTTTAGAGACAATTTCTTTGTTGCAAATCGTGGCCTGCTAACTTATTCTCATTTCTTGGAACTTTTTAGAATATGGCAATGCTGTATTGTTAGGTTGGCAGCGACTGAACCAGCTCCAAAAATATAGCCAGGCTTAAACACATGACACTTAAGATTAAATGAAAATATAAATACTTAAAACTCGAAGTTTGGAGAAATCTTAAAAAAACCAAAAAATGAGAAAGTACATAAAAGGTTTCACTTGCTTGAGCAGCAGGCCAAGTTGATTTCTTTGAGGTGAGGAAATGTTTTAGCCTCCCCGAAGTTTATTAAGCTCAAAAATATAGAATACATTTTTAATTGCAAGCAACCGATTTTCGTTGTAAAGTGTGTGCTACCCTGAGGCAGCTCTCAATTTGTATGCTCATTATAAATATTTGCCATGTGGATAAAGTGCCTTGCAAATATAAAATAGAGAAAAACATCAATTCTAGTGAGGCATAGAAATGAATGTTAATTCTGATAGGCGCCTTACAATTATGCTCTTAGAAATTGCATTTTAGGTCCAGCTCTCGACGCGGTCATTATGGCTAGGCATGTGTCGGACGTAGGATCTTTGATTAAGAGTAACAGAATTTGGCGGCCTGACGACAATGTGGAGTCGCAGGCTGCCGACGGCAATCAAAGTCACAAAATGTTGCAATTGACATGTAATAGAACAGGACCAGGGCTGCAGTTGGGAGGGTTGGGGTCGAGCGCTCGACTATCGCCCACGCGCTGGTATCGCTTTCAGTTTGACGCTTTCGACGCGTGCAAGTTTCTAATTTCATTAAAATTTGTTCGTTCCGCTGATCATAGTGGGCGGGGTGGGGTGGGGGCAGATACGTTGCTCAGACGTTGACAGACACAAATCGACAATAGACGTCAACACATGAGCGCTGTGAAGAGAGGGCAAGCGGGGGGCGGGGGGCGGGGGCGTGGTCTATGCCTGGACGACAGCTTTGGCAATCAAAATGCGCCGATCAAAGTAGAAAATCGATTTTAATTGCAATCTAGCGACGCTTAGCGCTCGATGGCCGCTCGAGTATGTGCGTGGGGCGCGGGGCGCAGGGCGTGCAAAGGGCGTGGCCTGTCCTGCCCATCAGTAGTAGAGTCGGTGTGTGTGTATGTGTGTGTAGCAATTGCTTTTTGCAACAGCAACGCAGCGACATGGCGACGTAGGCCACAAAAAAAAAGGGGCCAACGCGAAATATTGAATCAAAATTTTGGATGCCGCAGCGAGATGCGCATTGGATGATGTCGCAACCAGACATTGTCGATATTTTGACTAATGTGTCGCCATTTGTAGCGTCACTTGCCGCAGCTACTCCACACAGATACACACGCACACACGCGCACACACAAAACATCGAAAACCATTAAAACTGCGGCACAATTGCCGCTCAAAGGCAACTCAATCCGGCTGTCAAATTTAACAAGAGCCCAATTAGGCCACGCCTACAAAAATTTGACAGAAAAAAAAATATGGAAACAAAGCGAAGCATCAGACGAGACATTAATTATCGCATATATGACTGCAAAAAGAATACACAGTTCCTGGAATATAAAGGCAACAAATCGATTTATGGATTTCGAGTGTCTGGCTTTTAACGCGCCTATTAAAGTAGATTTTAAAAGTACGTTTAACGTTTGCTGACCAAGAATACTAATAAAGATACATATGTAAGTGTATTTTGCTCCCTACATATATGCAAAGTATTATCAACATCGGATAGCTATATCATATAGCTTCCATAGGAATGGTCCTTCGAAAAGTTGGTTCTTATATGTACAACTTTTTTATATTAAGATATGGTATGATATATGTATTTAAGATCTTATCAGTATCTTATATAGCTGATTTAGAAAAGATCGGTGGAATAGTATGGCAAAATATTCTGTTTTCAAAGATGTTTTCAACAAACTCAGCATTTTCCAGCTGCACTATTATCACATATTAAAAGGCAAATTTCTACAAGGGTGTTAAATCTCCGGCGTGCCGACAATATTCTTACTTTCACGTTAATTTTTATATGTTCTCGTTGAAGATAACCTTGATTTCCATTTAAATTTATATTTTTTCTTTCTCACTTCTGTATTATAAAATTATTCTAAATTATTGTAAAATTTTCTCATAATGAATTTGTTAGCATTTTCTTGTTATTAACAATTATGAAAGTTAATTGAGCCACATAATTTCTTGCAGTGTAGTTGCACTTATTTATTTATTTTGCATGCACTTTTTTAAAGCTCTTTGTTGTCCTTGCACTTGACTTGATGCACCAGGACAATGTCCATTGCTTGTGCAGCACTTGAAAGTTGTCTGTCCTGCTCATAATTACGATAAACAAAATGTGCAACAGTTTTTGCCACACTTTTGCGGCAATGTGTGAAATTTAATTATATTTCAATTTAATTTACCACCCCTACCGACCCCGCCCCCGCCCTCCTTTGCTCCCTTTCACCGCAGGAAATTAACAGCAATGGACGAGCTGAAGCTTTTCCCATGCTGCCTTTTAAGGAACATGGGCGGGACATGGACGGGCTGCTGCAATGCGTCATATTGCCACGCCCACAGCACAGCCGCCTTGCCCTTTATTGCTGTGCTAATTAAGTTTGGGTTTTGCGTTTAATGTCAGTTGGGCTGAGCATTTGCTCGTATAGATGAGGTGTGTTGGGGGGCGCGGCCTATTTTCCGCCATATTCTTTGCATTTCTTTTCTGCTTTGACAAGTTTTTCATTATAATGTTGGCATTAAAATTAAGTTTAGCTGCAGATCTTTATAGCCCCAAGACTACGGAGAAGTTGTCCTCTCAACTTCTGTCCTTTGCGACTGCTTGAAAGCCTTTTCCATTTTTTCTAATTTATTGCAATAATTTTCTCTTTTAAATATCTTTTCATTTTCACGCACAGGCAAACTTAATGGAATTAAATTGCCTGTTCAAAGGCCGAAGCGGGCACAGGGATTTCACATTCTAGAGGCTGAAAAGTGGTATTCAAAATATATGAAAGTGATAAAAAAAGCAAATATAGTGAAAACATATAATAAGAACATATAACAATGTATAATAATATGATATAATATACATTTTTAAAACATACAACAAATTTAAAAGTCAAATAATAAATGGAATACGAATTAAAATATATGAAAGTCATAAAACTAAATTAAATTTAATAAATTGGTGATAATAATAATAATAAATAATAATAACAAATAAATTAAATTAAATAAAGTAAACAAAAATAAATAAAAATGTATTTAAATAAATACTGAAAAAAATCACAAATTAATGGAAGTCATTTGAATGTTCCTAGCATCTAATCACCTCAAGGATCATATTTTTTGGTGAGTGCTTAAAGTTTTTATTTTTAGAATAAGCCAGAATTTGTATTATTTTAATGGTGCATCTAACGATGATCTCCGTTTATTATCGAAGTAAATATTCGTATTAAATAAAGCCAGGCTTAAATCAAAGGCATGAAATGTTGTTGTGGACCTATCAATATAGGTTGAAAGTGTTTCAAAATGGATATATTCCATTAAAGAATGCGGGATGTTATTTAGACCTGTTAATTTTCCTCATATAATACCGGAGGGTATATTATATTTTTAAGACTACGGAATAATATTTCAATGAAACATTTAAAGATATTGTGAATTATTTTGCTAATAAAACTCCGGAGGTATTTCAATTAATCATTTGGTGGAAGTGGATCCTTTTCGCTTTTTCTGTTTCGTTTGATTTGATATGATAAAACTAAAAAACGTAACTAAAATAAGCCAAGTCCGTCCTCTCCAATGCTTGTAAACTCTTCCACCCCACTTTAGTATTATCCTTTGATGAGGCCTTGTAGGCAGAGCTTTAATAAATAATAAATAACACCATATATGCAAATAATTATGAAATGAAAGTGAGCAAGTGCCTCGAAGGCAATGACCCAAACAGAGCCATTCAATGTCTAGATAGATGAATAATTGTTTGTTTTCAACACAATTTATTGTTGCATGCACCTGCGGCATGCCCAGTGCCAGAAAACGACACACACACACACACATACATACACACAGACAGAGGCCAAAGATATTCAGCACAGTTTATACCCTACAGCCCTGGGGGGAAGCATGGGATCGAATTGCATGCGCATTTTATGCCTTTCAAAATTTTGTTGCCTTTGGTCTCGAAAATATGCCAGCTGTTTGTTGTTGCTTTTGGAGCATGTGTGAGTGTAAACTCGGTATAATTTGTATGGCAAACAGAGAGAGACTGAGAGAGAGAGCGAGCTAGTGGCATTTCAGTTTGATTTTGGGCCCGGTTGGGTTTGTTTTGGCCAGTTCTGTTGACCGTTTGGCTCATGTAAATAAAACATTTAAACCGATTGGCAAATATTTGAATGTACAGCGCTTTAAGCATCCCAGCGCGGTATTCGCACGCTTTAAGTGTACGCCCACCCGCAGGGGCAGGGGCAGAAACAGCAGCAGGATCAGGAGCAGGAGCAGGAGCAGGGGTAGTTAGGTAGTTGTTAACCAAAGCAGGCAAAACCGAACCCGACTAACAACAAGAACTATGGCCAAGCTCGAGCGGCAAAGTTCAAATTCAATTACCTTTCAAATATTTGCATTTTGCGACACAAAGTTCCGTCATAATGTGCACAATGGCTGCCACTCGAATGCCACTTGAAAGCCAAGCGGATGGCCGGGGAAGGGCTAGGAAGGGGGTGGGAAGCAGTGGGAAGGGGCGCAGGATAGCAGGCGGGCGAGCGGGCGAGTGGGCGAGTAGTCGACTATAAAGAACGAACCGACAACGGAAGGAGCACTCAAAACAGTTGCCGCTAATGTCGTTCTGCACGTCCAGGACGTCGTCCTTCTGCTGCTGCTGCTGCTGCTGCTGCTGCTGCTACTGTCGGGATCGCAACAGCAACAGCAAAAGCAGCAACAGCAACAATGACGTTAACTTTTGCCGCCTACTGCCGTCCTCTTTCAAAACAATTACAAAACAAAGGCCAACGACAGCTCGGGGCGCGGGGACTGTGCGTGTGGGTGGGTGTGTGTGTGTGTGTGTGTGTGTGTGTGTGTGTGTGTGTGTGTGTGTGTGTGTGTGTGTGTGTGTCGCTCGCATAAAAATACCAAATAAGCCAATTTCGAAACAGGACTTGCTGCAACATTTGCCAGCCACCTACTGTCACCCACACACCCCCTCCAAAGGCCCATCCCTTGCGTGGCCCTCTGCCGACGCTGCAACCAAGCCAAGCAAGGGCGAAGCAGCGAAGAGGTTTGGCAATTTTTTCAATGCCAACCCAGCGAAGTTGGGTGAAATAGTGTATTAAAAGCATATTAACTATATGGATTGGCTGGAAATAGATCGAAAGCAAGCAATTGAAGTTAATAAATCTTTAATTAAATTGAACAAGTAAAAGAGAAAAATATGTATATTGAGAGAGAGGTAGACATAGAGATAGAGGTAGAGGTACAGGTAGAGAGAGATAGAGATAGAGATAGAGAAAGACAGAGAGAGATAAATCCAGGTAGCAAAAGAGAAAGGGAGAAGGCTAGATAGACAGAGGAAGAGAGGGTGATCAAGGCAGAATGTATAGAGTGAAAGAGATAAAGAGCGTGCGAAACGGAGAGAGATAGAAAGCAAGATGCCACAATATAGCCAAAAGATCAAAACAACAACAACCACCAAGAGAGTTAGAGAACCACTGAGGCAGCGAGAAAGAGAGAGAGCGAGAGAGAGCTTGCAAACAGAATTAAAAAACTAATGAAGCAGTCCACGGATAGAGACACTAAAAGTAGAGAGCTTGTAATTGAGATTGGCCCAGAAAGTCTGAGAAAAAGAGCTAAGGATCTATTTAGATAAAACAAAAAAAAAAAACAAGATACAATTAAATGTCAAAAATAAATGTTATCCTAAATAAAAATTATGCTAGCAATAGTAATTAAGGCCTTGAGCTACATTTTTCAATATATTTCAGATAATATAAACGTAGTTCAGTTGTTAAATTTATAAAACTATTAGGAATTATATTAGTATTAATAATATTATTAATACTCGTTTTTAGTGTAGCCAAATGTCGCCCATTTGTCTTTTGATCCATATAGTTTTATTTTATTTGAGGGTGGGCTATTTTTTATTGTAATTTTATTTTTTATTTTTATATTTTTTAGAATCGGTTGTGTTGGTTTGACTGCCACGAAAAGTTGTACTTGGGCGGGGTTGTTGCTGTTGCACGTAACTTTTGCTGCCAACTATGTGAAACGTTGTTGGAGGGCCAATTTTAGTATTGCTTTCTCTAGGTTGGCCACTTCATGTGTCCTCTGCCCCGTCTCTCTCTCTCTGTCTCTCTCTCTCTCTCTGTCTGCGTCTCTGTCTCTGTGTGTCCTTCTGTCTCTATCAAAAATGTGGGCGCATGTGTCTCGTTGTTGCAGTTGCAACAAAGTGCATTGAAAATTATTTCTTTTGTTTATTAAAATTGTTTTGCGAGCTTTATTGAAAATGAGACGGAAATGGCATAGCAGTTGGGTCCTTGGATACTTGGGTCCTTGGGTCCTTGGGTCCTGCCCTTGGCCAGTTTGTGTGTGCGGCACGCACCTTCGCCCGGGCGCCTGACAAATTTTAGCCAACTCTGGGCGGGGAACGGACGGGGGGCATGTGACATGTGGCATGTTTTATGCATGCGGCTGCAGCCAAACCCGCTGAGAAGAAACCAGTTCCTATACCAAGTTGCGAGCTTATTTACATGTTGAACTCTTCTTCTTCATTTTTTACCACGCATCAAATGAACGCGTGCTGAGTGCACATTTGGATTAAGGACCAAAAGCTGGATATCAGCGTTCAGCGGGCTGAGGGTGTGGGCGTGGCAATGCCAGCGTCGAGCATGATGTAACAAGATGCGAGTGGGCGGAGGGTGCGGGTCGTGTTCAAAGATGCCTGAATGCATTTGGCGCCCAATGCCAAAGTAGATCTGCATACGAGCATATCATATGTACATATAATACACAGATATATGTACATACCTATATGTGAATGTATAGTATAGATAGATGTGGCTGCATAGCCACTGGCGCTGGCGGTATATAAAATGCATAGAATTTTCGCTTTATTCCATGCATTTAAAGGCAAATTTATGTTATGCATGTTGCTGTCTAAAGCGAAATTGCAACAAAGGGGCAAAGCAAAAGGTAAAAACAACAACAACATGCAACAAACAAGCAACAACCAGCAACAGATATAATATTAGACATAAATCGCTGACACGCACGTTATGCGAGTCCTTTGAATATGTTGCTACTCTTGATTGAAAATACAACAGCTAAAGTTCTTTGCATACCCTTTAACCGTCAAGTGGCTGACAAGGGTATGAAAGAGTTGTGTAAATGTTTGTGACAGGAGCTACAGCAAATTGCGATGTTTGTGCTTGTGTGCGTTAAATCTATTAGAAATAGGCAGCCTGTGCAGGGTATCTGCCAGTAGAGCATGTCCAGATAAAAAACGCTTGTAAATAAGTTATGATTAAACATTTTCTGTACACTTTGTAACTATTTCCGAACCAAACCCCAAAGAAACAAGATATTCTTCTTTTTTCTAATTTCGCATAAAGTGAACAATCTGAATGGAAGGAAGAACATACAAATAATGAAAGAAAAAAGCCTTTTTAACAGAACTTTCTACTCTTTAGTAGTTCAAGCCAAGTATTAGTACTTATTTAAACAGCATACTTAAAGCACATGCTCTGAAAATCCATTAATTTCAATATTTAATGCATTCCATCTAAATCCCAAAAGCAAATCACGACACGACAAGAAAACAAATCGTTAACATTAAAAATGCGATTCGTTGTCGCGGATGCGAATGCGAATGCTGCGAATATGAATGCGGATGTACTGCTGCGAATGCCAAATCCTTTACAAAGCTGTGCAACATTTTCTTACAATTTAAGTGGCAACGCTTTTAATTAGCTCGCCCAGCTACACTGGCAGAATTAGGGCTGAGTCCAACCCCCCTTACACGCCTGCAAAGGATTTATGCAAACGCATCAGCTGCGGGGAAGTTATTCGAAAGCTCTTTTCGCTGATTCCCTGCGACTGCTCGGTGCTCATTATGCTCACTATTTACCACCAGCAATTATGGCCATGGATTTCGATAGTCAAAATCTAGCAATTCCATAAGCTGGCCCATCAATCTAAACAGCTTACGAATGTCTCCAGTTGCAGTGCAGACACAAATTATTTAGTTGTGCTCGCTACAAATGCGCAGAGAGCGAGAATGCGTGTCTGACTAAGAGAGGAAAATATAGAGAATTTCGATAAATTTGTTTGTCGTATGTGTGCTATATCAAATATTTAAA